TAAATGGCATCAGAACACTTTGCTTTCAAGAGGCTGTCTCCCTCAGAAACCTATTATCAAGGCTATTTCAGAAAAGTTGCTTTTGCTTGGTACATCTGGTAGACTGGCTCTAGAATCCACATAATTGCTGTAGCAACCTGACCTCTGCTAGTCAATGTATTCTAGCTCCTAGCTATATTCAAAGACTGTTTTTAAAGGAGCCCTCTCCAGGGTAAATGCAGGCCGTTTCACTCTGAGCAGTTTTGCTAGTATAAAGAACCCCTTAACACTTTTGCTTTAGAGATGCTTCAGTTTTTTATAATCAAATCTGTCTGCCACACTTGATCATGATCAGCAGCATGGAGATATTATCTGTCTCTGTTTGGTATACAGGCGATGCTGCTGATTAGCACAAAGCTGAGATAGGCTGGGTACATCAAACTGTCATGTAAACTCCCAAATTATTCTTTTTCTGGTTTCTGGCTTGTTTTAGACACAAGTACAGTGATGTTTTGTGTTCAGAGTTTTGTTCTGAGATTGAGGCAAAGACTGACTCAAGGCATTCAGCACTGCTGAATTTTAGGAATTTTCTGGTATTTTATGATGTTAATTGCCTAATCATCAGAACAGCAAATGTCATCTCATATAAAAGAATAGATGATAGAGCCAGAAGGGACTGTTGTGATCATTTTTGTCTGACTTACTGCATCATACAGGCCAGAGGAATTTTTATATGAACTGGAACAAGACTTCAAAGGACCCAAAAAATCTGATCTTGATTTAATCGCCAGATATAGAGAATCAACCAGAACACTTGGTAAATTTTCCAGCAGCTAATTGCTGCCATTGTTAAACAACTAATCGCGCTGCACTTAATTTCTCTTCTGTCCCCTTTCAAATTGGGTCATTTGGCCTTGTTGCACTCTTGTCTTATGACAAGTACTTAAATTACACTGTGTTCCCTGTATTAGTCCCTAAAAATTGCAATCAAGCTTCTTCCTTAACTAAGTCTCTACCACTTTTTTTCTTAGCTATTCATAGATGTTCATCCAGTTCTGGGCTCCCCAGCACAAGGGAGAGGTGGAGCTACTGGAGCAAGTGCCACAAAAATGAATAAGCTGCTGGACCACCTTTAGTATGAGGAGAGGTTGAAAGAGCTGGACCTGTTCAACTCTGCAAAGAAAAGGTTTGGGAGAGAACTTATCAATTTTTAGAAATACTTGAAGGGAGGGTGCAAAGAGGAGAGAACCAGGCTCTTAATGGTGCCCAGTGATGAGATGGCAATGGGCACAATCAGAAACACAGGTGGCTCTCTCTGAACATTAGAAAACACATTTTTCCTGTGAAGGTAACCGAGCACTGGCACAGGCTGCCCAGAGAGGTGGTGGAGTCTCCTTCCTTGGGCATATTCAGAACCTGTCTGAATGTGGTCCTGCAGAACTGGCTGTAGGTGGCCCAGCTTGAGTGGGGCAGGGACCAGATGAGTTCCAGAGTTCCCTTCCAGTCTCGACCCCTCTGTGATGCAGTGATTCAGAGTCTTTCTTACATGTCAGACAGCAAGACTGAGCTACAGTATTCTGGTAGAAGGTGCATCAGGGCTAAATACCAAACAGATAATGAATACCAAACCTGATACAGGAAATGAAAGCAAAGCTGAGCCACAGAGGAAATCAGTGTCAGAGCCAGGGTATGACCTGTTGCATTGCTCCTTGCTCTGGCAGCACTGCATATGCACAGGTCTTCATTTCTTAAAAAAGTAAGACCCACCCATTTCAAGGACTTTGGCTAGAGAATTTCAAAGTGTTTTATCTATCTATTTCCAATTGGGTGAGAATCTGAAGCAGAGAAAGATGATACAACTTACATTATGTCCCCCAGCAGCCCAGTCAAATACTTGGCTCCACAACTTGGCTTTTTAGAAAATCAGAAGCAAAGATTTATCCATTCCCCTTTGCTGCCATGCAGGAACAGGCTTACTGAATAGCAATCTCCATTTGGAGAAGTACTTTTGAGTTGGGTTGAAACTAAACTGGGTGTGGAAAATTTCCTCCAAACTCCAAGAACAGTGATGGTAAATGGGAGTAATAGAACCTTAAAGGGATTTAGGGTTTACTGAGGTACTTTTTTGTGCCTGTCAGTTTATTGTGCTGTGGGTCACCTTTTAGCTAGGTCAGTGGTTTGTGGCTATCTAGTCAGATGAGTGGCAAATTTTTGCTCTGAATGCAATGCTTCAACAAAGCTCCACAGATTTATGCTGATATAAACCTCTTGGAAATTGTGCTTTCTCGGCAGACCTAACAGAGGTTATGAACAGTGCTTCTGAAATCAGCATTTAAATAACATTTCAAAACCACTAGAAACCTCATTATCCTGAATATATCACTTTAGCGGTCATACAAGTAGTGAAAACACTGTGAAACAAATGTGTGACTTGTAAATGGGAAAAAACCAACAGTACTGCCTAAATACTTTGTTGTTAAACATCTAATTAACCACTAGGTACCTTTACAGATCACTGCATTTGCTGAAACTTGGTAAGGTAAGAGCAATCCAGAGATAAATATCTGTCCTGTTGTATGGGGCTTTCTTTCTGAACTTCAACAGGTCATGATAAATAAAGCCTTTAACAATGCAAATAATTTCTTGCAGTTATCCAGGTTTATGCAGATATGTAGAGCAAAATCTGTAACCATCATGAAATGAAGTTGCATTTTTGCATTTTTCCACTTTGATTCTGGAAATGTAATTCTCAGTCTCTCCAAGCCTGGAGTTTATGTTCTCAGGTACATGTGCATATGTGGCTTTCCCAAATCCCCCCTTACTGGAGGTGTACCAATCTACTGGAAAAACCGTTCTTCTTATGCATGTTTTAAATTACCATTTTCTGCCTATTCTTCATGGAAAACCAAAAGTTTGAGGGGCTGTAGCTTGACCTGGGGCAAGAAGGGACTTGTAACCTCTCTTCGTCATGAGCCCTGGTCCTTCTGGTGAGGAGACATCCTGAACTCTGTGGTAGGGATGTGGTTGTGTCCCTGGAGGTCTCCACCATCATTTCTCTGTCTTCATCATGCAATGGCATTGTACAAGTGCATCCACCTTCTATGAAACCTCTTCCTGGAAACAGGAACACAAAGTGCTCCAGTGGAACTAATGATGCTCCTCATTGGTGTGCACCCCCACATCTGCCAGGTACAGATGTTTTGCTGCATGGCATTGTGCAGGTAGCAAGGTAGGCAGGGTGCAAAGCATGCCTTTAACACTGCCAGTGAATAGAACTGTGTGGTCCTTCAAATCAGTGAAAGTGTGGAGCTAAGGTGTGAAGAGGGCTGAAAATTGCACTGAGGTTGCTGAAGCTCAGGTAGGCTTTCTATTCTTCCTCACCTGAGTGAAAGCATGCCTGCCCCTGGCTGATCATACATCGCATGATTTAGTGAGATGTCTCCCACTTGCCCTCCTCACTTCTTTGAAAGGACATTTCCATATTTTGTAACTGACATTTTCTGTGACATTTTCTTCTTTTTCAGGGTCAACTGGTGACCTCTGACCTATCTCTTCCTACCTACCTCTGTGGCATCAGGGAAAACAGATTCTCTGAGAAACCATTCTCAAAAGTGAGTGAGCTCCCACAGACCTGGTAAAAGTGTTTAGACCTTATTTATTACTGTTTTTATTTCTTTACCCTACCCCTGGGTGTTTTATTAATTCTTTGTTTTGCTTGTCTCATTTACCAACACTTCTATAGGTTGCATTTTTGGGGGATTTTTTTTGGCCTTCTGTGTAAAGCACTGTAAGTCACGTTGTATTTTTCTGCTCAGTGACCTCTCCTGGTTCCTCCCCCCATGTCCTCCAGTGATCAGACCCATTGGTGATTAGAGGCTCAGCAAAAGTGATTGCACAGCCTTTGCCACCTTGCATCCCCTGCTGCCTGGATTTCAAAGAGGTAATCATTCCCAGGGACCCACCACTGACCCTTTGCTCAAGCTTTTGTCATTCACCTTTTGCTGTCTCTTTTCTTAAAGAGCTTGAAGTATCTTGATTCTTCTGCTAGGGGAAAAAGGACACATGCACTGAAATCGTAATGACTTCACTGTAATTTCAGAGTACTTTCACCTGAAATGATATCAGATAGTACCTCTGTATCACATCTGTAACACCTTTTGAAGTGAAATCTTCAGCTCCTATTCGGAGATCCCCCTTTTGTTCGCTCAAAGCCAAGGGGACTGTCAGTGAGATGGAGAGATGGTTCAGTTCAACACCTGCCTTTTTTTAACTCATGGTGCACTGGCAGCAGTGAGTGGAGGTGCCAGGCAATGTGACTCATTCTGAAACTTCAGCAGGATTTCCAAAGGACTTGGGTGCAGACAGTGAAGCTGTTTACAGTGTTAGCTGTGAACAAATGAAGCACAGAACTGAGAAGGACATCTGAGCCCTCAGCCAAACTGACCTGGAGATCCTTAGGAAACTTTCTTTCCTGGGGCTTATTGTATGGTTTCTTGAACTGAAATGTCTGACCATGGCCAAGCCTGCTCTTTGGAGTCAGTGTAGCAGTCTTTGTCATCTGAGTTACAGATAGCATCTAGTGCCATAAAGACGGACAAAATAATTTTACACATTTTGCACATTTTATTTGAATTCTTATGAACGATAAAAAGCCAATTAAGACTAAGGAAACATATTAGTGCTATTTAGATTATTTAAATGGCCATGCTTTCTCTAGAGAATTAAAATTGTACATCAAAAAAACTAAGGGCTATATTAAATCAATCGCGAACACAGAGAAAATTGACTTTGAATAGTATAAAACCAAAAAGTCCTATAACTCCTCTCAAAGCCCCTTGATATGTCTTTGATGAATCCTTAGGGGGAAAAAAAAAAAAAAAAGCTGAAAATTTACTTCCAAAAGCATACTGTGCTTTTTTAATTTCAGTTTTTCTTCAACAAATGATAAATTTGAAATATTTCCTTTGGGTTTCACTGTAAATAGATGAAGTAATGGTGTTGTATTTATTTTTTTTTTTTAGACATCTCAGAGAAATGTAACTTTGGGATTATCTCAAATGCACTGGCAACATAATTAGCAAAAATCTTCCAGAGGAAGCCTGCATGGAGTATGTTAATATATGGCAAGCAAAACTTGGGTGCTGAGTCCTATGAAAAGTGTAAGAAGAGGAAATTCTGTTGCTTTGGTGACAACATGCATGCTTACATTTTAAATCTAAGGCTGGCTGTACAATTTTTTAATGAATTTAGACTCCTTTTGTCTTCTCCCCCACCACCCCTCCCCCTCCTTCTTTAAAATGCTTCACAAATTGTGGTATTTGTGCCTTCATTATTTGTAATTGTGCTGGGAATCGTTTGTCTAAAAAACTGCAGCTGTTGCTGTAAATCAAACACTGTCTTTTGGGGTTTTTCTGCCTGGTCACCTGAGTTATGTGGTGCTATTCCTTTTCTTTAGCTGGATGAAAAACTTAATAAACTGGTGGCTAACTAACTTAAGCTTCAGATAAATCCTCATGTTTGAGGTATAAATGTACATAAATCAGAAGAATAGATATGGGCAGCTGTACAATTGCAGTAGTCTTTGTGTCTGCTGAATGATATGGGAGTCAAAGTCAACTAATGCATTTATATGGACATGATTTTATGCAAAGACTCCTTTACCTACATAGAGAGCTTCTAACAAAAGACTTCTTGGCCTTTTTGGGTCACTAATAGTTTCACCAGATGTGTACAGAGAGAGTTTTATACAGTTTGCTCTTCCAGATAACTATATGTCTATTAATTAACTATATACCTCCTCGACCACTTTCTCTAGTTTATTTGGTTGGTTTTTTATTATGTTTTGTTGTTGTGTGTTTTCTGTTTATTTGCTTGGTTTTTAAAAAGGAATTTTTACTTACTCTAGAACTCCTCAGAAATTTAGAACAAAGGAAGCCCAGGCTGTGTTGCTCAGAGCTCAGCAAAGGCCCTGTCTTGCAGGGAGATGAAGGACATTTCACCAGTCCCGTGGCCTTATCTGTATACTGGGTCTGACTGAGGCAAAGACTGGAGAGTGAGTTAGTCAAGCTAGTATAAGGCTGGTACCTAGCCTTGCAAGAAACACTGCCACGAAATCTCTCTCTTGTAATATCTTGGTTTTATCAGTCCTTGTGAAAAATCAAATGGATTGTGTTCAAGCCTAATAATGGGCAAGAAGGGCCGGTGATCTTAGTTCAGATATCACAGAGGTATAAGGATCTGCCTTCTGTAAACCAGACAACATTGTGCCTGGGGATTCTGCTGTAAGGTACCCTCTGCTGTAGGGGTACAGGGAAACTTTCAGGAGAGTCACAGCCATGCTCACAGAGCTTCTGTGAACTCATTTGCAGTTAAGAGGAAGATGAACACAGTGGTGGACTCAATGGATTGGGCTATAGTCTATCAATCTGGTTACCTAAACTCCCTGTCTTTCTCCTATGAATACTGTGTGTATCTTTTTTATCAAGCTGCTTAATCTTTCCACCTGCAGATTGGGTGTATTAGTGATTATGTGCTTGTTGGGTGCTATGTAGAAGAGGCTGGCCAAAAACCACGCAAAGGCTTTGAGACAATGAGTATGTGGAGAATGTACAACTTGCAGCTAAGGAGCAGCAATGGGATGTAGGAGAAAATCAGGGCTTTAATTGTGGGTATTTTAGTCATTGGGAAGTTGGTCTACAAATGAGAATAGCTTTTACTTCTTGTGCCGTTCATGACATTCTCAGGATCACATCAGGTGTCTTGACAGAAAGGGTGAAATTATATATTTGGTTTTGGGGAAAGTCATGTACGGTTTTCTCATTTCTGGATTCACCAGTGTTTATTTACACACACCTAGTGTGCCATATTGTGCTTGCCTATAGGAGAGCCTTCAACATTTCACTAGTGCAGTCACATGGTGGTCTCAAGAAACACCAAGCTTTTATAACTAGTGGTGCAATAAGCACTGAAATTGCAAACCTGGAGGTATTTTCCAAGGGGCTAAGGAAGTTACAGGCTCTGGTTCTGCAGTGCTAACCTGATACATGCAGAGCTGGGCCCACAGGACACCCTGGAAACTGCGCAGTCTCCTTTATTACACAGTGTCACAGCCTGGGCAACACGGGTGTCTTGTTTGTTTGACAGCTGGCCTCAGAGGAGGAGAAAGCCATGTGCATCTGTATGGAACAGCAGCAAATTCTGGCACAAGAGCAGAGCAAAGAGTCATACCCATACCTCTGAAGCCAAAGAGGGGTGTTCTAATTGCTGGTTCTCACGTTATATACACAACATCTGGTTTGTATTTGTTAAATGTGTGACACAGAAATGAAGAGGCAGGAGAACAGAAAGTAAATGCTTGGGCATATTTCTCAGGGTGTTTGAAGACCTGTGAAGGGACTTGAAGTATCATGCTTTTGTGCTTGCACACAGGCACAAATCATGGTGTTGCCTCAGGCTGAGCATGAGGTGAGATCAGAGTTGTGTAAGCCTAGTGAAAGGTAGAGCCTTCAGCTGGAAATCACTAAGTACTGGGTCGTTCTGGGACAGGCACACAGTAATGCATTGAAATATAAGATGGATTATACAATAATATGAATTCAACAGAGTTCAGATAGAAATGGAGAGAAAATTAGAAAAATCATATAATCTTTTTCCCATACAGATCTAGACCCAAGGTGGATATGGTGGACCCCTCTAGCCAGCTTCAATTAATGGTTCCTGGACAGTCCCTCACTTCCAAATCATGTAATGTTGTAATAACTGTCTGCTATTTAAAGTCACTGAAAGAATATTAAACTGCTGCTGTCTTTGAAGTTCACAGGCAGGGAATCATGGTTACTAAAGACTATTAATTATCTCGGCAGTCAAACTATGCTAGGCAAAACTCCAGTATAAATGGCAGACAGCAAGTCTGATGTTACACTGCAAGATTTCCTCAGAATAATGTCTACAAACTGAGAACAAAAACCGTGTGCAAACTCTAATCTCATTGAAACAGCCTGCAGAGTAAATGTATAAATCAAGGGTTAAGCAGGAATGTGTTTTTCTAAAGAAAGTAAAGGCACTTCCTGTGTTTAATTAACAGAATGCTAATTGGGTAAATGAGGGAGAATTAAAAGGGAATCTCTGAGTGTCTGTATGAGATTGGTGGTAAAGCTGTTAGAGCTGACTACTTGACCTGTACATGGAAATTGCAAGTCAAGAGCAAACCCTAAATCTGAGAGTTGTAATGAATACAAGCATGTTCAGAAAAATCTAGATTCCTGAGAATGAACATGCTTGGAGAAAAAAAACAAAACAGATATTTTAGCTAAGAATATGTGAATGCTTTGTATGTACTGACCTCCTTGCACTGACTGCAATTTCATACCTCATGACCCTGTTAGTAATATTTTTAATATTAGTAATAATTTTTTCTTGTTGTTGTTTGGTTTGTTTCCAATGTGGAAAAAAAATTCACTGTGTTTGTATGCTTCAGAGCTGAGAGCAGGGAAGAAGGGAAGTCAAAGAATAAGTTTTCACTCATGGGCAGCCACATTAGAAGATATTTGGGAAGGTCTTTATTCATAAGAAATGGGACCATGGGTTTCACCATGGTTACCAAGAGTGTAATTTAAAAGTATGCAGTCCTTGGGCACCACAGGTGGGAGTGTGATAAGTCTCAGAGTCCACAGCCTATGAAGAAGGAAAAAGAAAAAAATCTCTGAGTCAGTGTTCATATTCGGCAGACTGCTCAGGAGGTGCTGCTCTTTGGTGATTTAAGCCCACTGTCAGGGCAGCAGTGAAAGTGCTTACACACCTTTCAGTGGCACTGGGCTCTCTGGGAGCTGTGTGTGTGAGCTGCTTTGAGCAAGCCCTACTTGGCATTGATAGTGCTGGGCTGATGGAGAGAGGTTTGGCAGACTGAGAAGTCTGTCCTGCAGTGCTCTATTGACAACCCTGAGTCAATGGCCATAAAGTCCACAAGACCATGTCCCTTTCTGTGACTGTATAGACGTAAACTGCTTGGGGCAGTGAAAGCAGCAGCCAAGCAGAGACAAATGGAGAAAAAGAGTCAGTGTTACAGGAGGTCTTCCAAAAGACTTGCAATGTTAAACAAACAGCATACGTACAAAACTCATTTAGGTTATAGCTGGAAACAAGGCTCTGTGAAGCACTTCATTCAGTCTCCTCTTTTATATGTACATTAATATGTATTAATATGCACATTTATATGCAGAAAGCGTGGGCAAGCGTGGGTAGAGCCCTTCTCAAATCTTGGTTCGCCAAGCCTAGCCACGATGATGAAGGACTGGAAAGAGACAAACTGATGAACACGGAACATAAGGTCCTCTGGCCCTTTAGAAAATGAAAACAAACCACACATTGTAGCAGTCCTTCATCCTAAGATATTGACAGCAGTCTTGAGATGTGTTTGTAGCATTGTTCTGTGTTTGATATATACATGTATATATATATAAGGACATATAAAAATACATTTTTCAAAATTAATCTCTCAGCCTATGATTTAGTTCTGGACTGCAGATATTTTATTTCTTGGTGCATGCCAGACACTTCTCTGGCATGCTCTGATTCAGTGGGCCTCCCACATCAGCTCTGGGAAACATAGTGACTGAGCCAATGCCTCTGAAATTAATCGGTATTATTCCATCAGCCTAGGGTGGCCCTGGCAGCAGTGTGTGCGTTGTGAAGGCCAGCAGGCAGAGAAATGCTGGGCTGTAGCCCACATTTACCCATCTGAGCTTCATTGCTTCAGTCAGTCCCAGGACAAAATCAGGATGTATTGGATTTCTGTAATAATGTATTGTTCTTCTGCTGCTACTAGTGACAGCATTTATTTTTTTCTTCCTGTGTCAAAGTCATGATTTGGACTATAACTATGCATATTCCTCAAGCTACAGTGAATGGTCAGAGTGGATGAATTGCATTGGCAACTAGTACATCTGATGAGTCTCAGGATCTTGGACTCATGTTTTCTTTTGCCCAAGACTGAAGCTGACGTTTAGCATATTATTGACCAAATTTTCCAGGAAGTGACTTGAGACACTTAGAAGATTTGAGGACCTAAATAAATGCCAGGTTTTGCACAAGAAAATTAAACAGGGTACGAAAACTCATTG